GTTGTTCGTTAGTGGTTTTACAGTGCAGCGTCGCAGCGACCTTCCGGAGAAACAAGTCTCATATACTTGTATATAGTTGAATAACTACTATATATTGCAAGAAACATAATTTCCAGTGTGAAAGACTATTTTTCGGAGATCACTATCCAAAGCTCTATAGGCTATGCTAACTATGATAAGACATATATTCTGTATGTATTTATGTATTCTTTAAGAATATGACGAACTTCACTGAACATGTTCGTTTTGGGGTCAATCAGGATGTGTTACTTTCTATTTTCCTGTACTCAATAAATGGTGACTTTGAGCTTCTGACCAGGAGCTGGCCAAAGATGCTGATAAGAAATTAAATAATTCATTTTTGATAGTTTATAACAAAATAATTAACACGTAAATACTGAAAAAGTAAATCCTTAAATACTACGTCATACGCTGGATAGAGGTATGATAAAACATAAACTGTTTGTGGTAATATTTTACCTCAATTATTATACTAAGATATAAATTATATCTATTAAATGTATGTAAGTATATATATATTTAAAATAATAAAAACTTATTAACCACAAACAGAATACATTATGAGGGAGCTAATTTATTAATGTAAAAATCGTACTATCGTAGGTAGGTATACGGTATACTCGTATGATATAATAATATATTAACAAATAACTAACCTAATATTTAATGATTTTTTCGGCTGTGACAGCAGAATAATTCGTTGAACTACATAATATATGATATATAAGTTGGATAATTATTAGTTCTTTAAGAAATAAATAAATAATTATATTTATTTATTTATTCAATCATTTTAGTTTTTAGAAGTAAATAATAATAATGTAAGGCACTATCTTTCTTAGAAAATATAAAAAACTGAATTTTTCTGTTTCCTTATCATTAAAATTAATAAAATCTTAAACATTGAGTAGCGTAACAATATAACCAAATATAAAAAATCCCAATAGTATATGTCCATAACCCATACTGAATGTTCTCAATAAGTCCAATTGTTCAGCGAGTAATAACAGTATTTTATCCAGCGTTTTATCCTATTTCCATCGTACAGTATAATATGTATATTTATTAAGAGCACGTTACACATACATTTGTTGTCTCCGTCTTACAAGTGCGTAACATCGTAAGTTTTAATTTCAGTAAATCACATTTACCTCCTTTAAATAAAAATTAGAATGAATTGGCCTCTTATAAAGTTAAAGCTAAGATTTTTATCTAGGCAATCGCATAGGCTTGTAAAGGTTGTTACGTCATTACTTATATTTTATAAACATATTGTACATATTATATGTATTATGTATCTTATAAATATAACACGTACAATATGCTGACTAGATATTAAGCCCACCTTGTATTGTCTCATATTTATTATTTTAAGGCTACAACCATCAAATACCAATATGTAAGAGAACGGCAGTTCTCCACGGTTGCCATCGTGTGCGTCTGAACTCCGAGATAGTTCCACATTTTGGTAAATGTTGTTCGTAAGTAACAATAAACTTTTATGTAAGAATAATTATTTGGATCAAACCACACTTATTTGTAATATTCCGAAATAAACATCATATGCTCCCAACCTATGGTTAAAATTTATTCAAAAGAAACTAACTTCTTCCCTGTATATTGAACTGGTCATCCCCGACCACGTTACAGGCTTTTAAGATTTTTTAAAATATTTTTATTTTAAAGCGAGTTATGAGTATTTTAAGATTCATAAACAATTTACATTTTAAAGATACTCATAACTCGATTTAAAATAAAATATAATAAAAAGCTTATATGAGTGGCTCTAGATAATAGCCCTTTACCTACCTTTAGTGCTTTAGTCTTTACATTTATAACAGATCACTCTAATTTTTTTAACTACAGGAGCTAAACGTGATCTTCTGAGCGTAAAATGATACGCACTTATAAGACGGAGAAAGCAAATGTCGCTGTAACGTACTCTAAAAAAGAATAAATTATGAGGGTGATAATTAATTTACTTTTATCAAAATTAATAACAACGTAAATCGTTGGTATATATTATACAAATACCTTAACATAATATTTAATGATTCATTCAACTGCGACTCCAAAATATTGAGCATTGACCTACATAAATAAATTGAATAATAATTGTTTAAGAAATTATGGTTTTCATTTATTTATTTAATTATTTTAGAATTTTGGAGTAACTGAATGTATAACTGCAATATATTGACAAATATTTGTTTATAAGTATAAATATTTCGTTTTAATATTTAGTATCAAAACAAACATTTTCTTAAAATGTTGAATGTTTATAAAATATCTATGAAGTCTATCTTAAACTTGTGCAAAATTGTGGGCATCATTAACATGTCTTACATAATAGAATCTAATGGATTAATAATTCAAAGTACAGAAACAGTTTATAAATGTCTTGAAATTTCACGAATGATCATGTTAATAATATTCACTTACTGCATACACATGAATGTAATTATTTTTGAAAAAATATATTTGTTAAAATTTTGGTACGCCATTATTGCTTCAAGAATATCAGGAACACGGATCATACAGTAAGACTCACCATTCTGAATAATAAATTATGAAACTTACAAATAATTAACAGTTTTTTTTTAATGTACCTCAAAGACGAGTAGGTCATTGTAAAAAATAAAATAAATTCCATGATAAAACAAATACGTCAACCAGAATATGAAATACATGAAAAAAATTGCGCTTTGGCATTGATTATACATAATTAGAAATGGATTAAGTAAGGAGAACATGAAATGCAATCACTCCCCTCTAATTATATGTTTTTGTTGACATTTTTAGAATGCTAAATACATAAATGTGCAATAGAATATTTTTTAAATTGCATGATTGATTGGGATGAAATAGTGAGCGATTACGATTTATGAGATGGGTTCTGAAAATGAATGCTCAATATTCCTTATAATAATCTGAATATTTTTTTGTTTATTGTTCATACTTACTGTGCACAATGCTATATGATAAAAATTGCAACTATACGCCCATATGGTAATAAGTTATTATTATTTATTACTAATAACATAATACTGTGTTTGTATGGGACCGGTTAAAGGCGTGAAACACGATTGCGGACGCTTTACCATTTTTGCAACACGATTTCGGACGATCATTATTAGTGCTGTGAATTTAATGCACTAAAAAACCTTTAAAAATGTATTAAAAATTTCAAAAATATGCAATAAAATATGCACTTAAAATGCAAAATATGCACTCAAAATGCAAAAAAAAGGAATATAAAATGCCAAAAATTATAGTATAAAATTTATTAAAAATAGTTTTTAATTTAATTTTTATATTTATACTAATATTGTATATTTTATATTAAACATTAGTACAATAAAGTGTTTAAAAAGTATTTAAAAAAAAAATAATAATAATAAAAATGTTGATTGAATTTGATTTGACGATATGCCACAATAACTGTCTTATCTAAGTTATCTAGTTGTCTAGCAATTGCCTTATTTTGTCGAATCGTTATCTTTACCTAACCCGTATATAGCGTGTGACTTGTGTAAAATATTATTTAATAAAATATAAATTTGACATAATATATAGGTACAGCCCGCGTAAAATAAATTAAAAATGTTTTCAAACAAGTCAATTGACGGAATTTGACTAAAAATATTAGAATATGAACTAAAAAAGCAAAATATGACCTAAAAATGCGAAAAAATGACCTAAAATATTTAAAACGTCAAAAAATGCAAAAATAAAAGTTTCATAGATTGATTCGTTATTACGTAATTCAAATTATGTACTCACAAAGCTATGTCTTACATTCACCAAAAAAAAAAATGCACTTTCCTATGAATTCACAGCCCTAATCATTATATAACAAAAGGTCTTATGTTGCACCCGAAAAATGACACGACTGCGGTCGAAATTTAATGAAACGTTGCTAAGTGTAGCGACGCGGTCTACCAAGCCCAACGATTATCAATTTTATGAAAGTTCTTAACAATACAGTTCAATTAGCTCAATATAATAATATAATATAAACATATTTTAAAGTCAAGAGCTCAATATAATAATAAATAAATTAAATTTATATTTTTCCCCCTGTAATGACAACTAATTTTTTTTTAATATTGTATCACGTTTTGGGGATTTTATAATCATTATAGCTCTGAATAGTTAGATTGATTCTATCTAAATCTTTTTTTGCCACCGATTTCTCTCGACCTTTGTTTATGGATGAAATAATTGTCTCAGTTTCTCCTTGAGTTTCTATTAAAATCGATATAACTATAAGTGAATCGGAGGATGAGTATTGTGAAACTGGCTATTGTATGTCCGGTGAAAACTTTCTGCTCCATTAGTAGTTCTTAAACAAAAATTAATATTATAATTCTTTAACTATTTCTGTTACTGTATTATTTAATAGTTCCGTTCTTATTATTTTTAACGGCTTAGTAGATAAATCATCTTCAAATTTTCTTTTGCAGTTTTCTCTTAATATCAATCGCTCGATTTTTTGTACAGAGTTCTCAGCGCAGATATGCTCGCCGGAAAATTCACAGATTGATTTTTTATCTGATGTTGTCAAAATACTTGCACTACAGACTTTATTTGTACATAACCATTTCAGAATTCCATCTTTCAGCTGTCGCCTAAATCGATATTTATTCGTTTTGTGTAGAACTAACTCTTTACCACGTTCTGATAAAATAATTTGAAAGTCTTCCATAGTTCAAAAACACAATATACACTATATACAACGAGGTTGCAACTATTACTGCAGTATTTAACAAAAATGACTTGTAACTGCATACTAAACTTAATACGCTCAGAATTTCCACATACCCACATTATCGAAGTATTATTTATAAATTTGGCAACATGTGTCCGCAAAATCGTTCACAATGGTGTTATTAGAAAGGTCGCCCCGATAAGAACCGTCTGCAGTCGTGTATCACCGGGTTAAAGTGTTTAAAAATTTAAAAGTTTGATGTCGATACATGATGTACGTAATATTATATTGCCTGCTTTTGTTTATTTCAATCTTTTTTTTCTCATTTTGTTTTTTATAGATTGATAAATGGTATAATTGAGTACGACCATAAACTAACATCACTTCCAAGATTTTTGTTAATTCAACAAATTGCACCGAAGAAAAGTTATTGGAATACAATCTTAATTTTCACATTAATTTATTATATTACATTGACAATAGTGCTTCTCATCATATGGCCACCAATGACTTTTAACATAACTATTATTGGTTTGTATTTTATTCGGTTAGAATTCATCGTGGATGTTACAGTTATTTATGCCTCATATTTTTTCCTACAACAATTAGAGTATAGATTCCAAATGTTGAATGATTCCTGGAAATATCTTCTCCCTGGATTTCTAGCAGTTCCTAGAGAATTGACACATTCCATAACAGAAATGACGCTGGATAAAATACGGTTGTTACACGCAGAACTTTCGGACTTATTGAGATTATTCAGTGTGGGTTACGGAAAAATACTATTAGGCTTCTTTGTATTTAGTTATATTCATATGATAAGTTGTTTTTTTTATACTATTCATTTTGATTTTAAGTTAAGGGATGAATTTCTCTTTATAAATTTTCTAAGAAATTTCGCTCCTCACATTTTCAACCTACAAAATTTCTTATTGGTCGTAGCCATTACCATCGCTGCATCACATGTTCATGAAAAGGTAACTATAATATAAATTCGTAATTGCTAATTCTCTGTATATTGTCTTTTGTTCTTTTACCATTTTAGCACGATGTATAACAATTTTGATCCCTTCCATTTTTCTAAGTTGGCTGAATGCTTGAGTCAAATATTGGGATGTTATTTATTTTCAATGTCCATCCTTAACTAGAGTTACAGCGTGTTGTCTAAACAATTATCGTTAAGGTTTTTATATTGCTACAAACATTGATATACAAAAAATAATTTCTATATTATTAACCTTCCAATTTAATTTCTTTGGAATTTGATTTGAGTCTTTTTTGAAAAATTATTTAATTCAAAATACAATTAATGTTTTTCCAATCGAATTCAATTATGAAATACAAATTGTAAAAAGTATTATGAAATAATTGTTTGATTTTGGGGCAACTATGTATTATTAGTTATATATGTTTAAAATAAATTCCTTTAACAGGCAATAACTATAGACATTTTAGAATTTTGTTCCCCAGAACAAATCTAAGAACTTTCATGACACTTTGCACAAGCTCTTGAATCATTGTTAACTCAAAAAGTTTATAATATAATTATACAAAGAAGACTCATCTGTTTTATTTATGACGTCTGTGTTAAAGTAGACAGTTTTGCTAATAAATCTATGTTATTTTAATATGTACTATTAGACATAAAAGATGAACTCTGTAAAAATTGTATTTTAACAGCACAATATTATTTTTAATTTTAAACTACATTCTTGTTCCTCATGAAACATTCAAACAAATAAACCTTTTAACAAAAAATGAATAAGCAATAATACATAACTTTAACATTGTATTTTTTCAATTATTATCCTACAGAAACAGAAGATGATTTCACATTTACGATTAATCAGGATTTCAAATTTATCGACAAACCTAAAAATTCAAGTAAACAAAATAATATAATTAATTACTTTATCATTTAAATTGAATTATAACTCCTTTGTAAATGTTTGTAATCCATGTAGGTATAAGAGATGATATGATTATTAGATATTGATAAGCATTAGTCATATTGTAATATTCTAATTCTATTATTATTCTATATTAGGTTAAATTGTTTATGAACCAAATAACAATTTTTGAATCAAGTGAAATTACTGCTTTTGGATTCTTTAGTATAAATTTAAATCTTGTTGTATCAGTTAGTATATAATTTATAAATCACGTAATTATTTATAGTTTTTTTTTTAAATTTATTTTACCACAATATACGATGTTATAAAAATGAAATTAATTTTTGTTCGCAGATACTAATATTACTTATTACTGGTTTAGTAACATTAATACAAATGAAGAAACATCAAGTTTCATTACAAACAAAACTAAGTTTAAAGAATTTCCTACTAAATGCTTATAACGTAACATCGATCTAAGTAAAAAAATTAAATGTTTGAATCTATTGTAGGTAAGCCCATAAGTCTTATACCATGTTAAGCAGAAAGTAACTAATTATTTATTTTATGAACTTATGAATTCAATTTGTAGTTGAAATTCAGTTTTTATTGTACCTTTCTTTAAAAATTATTATTATCATCCTATTAAAACTAAGTACTGAAAGCTGGTGATTAAATTATCCTTGTTTCTTTTTTAGCTTATTTCTTGTTAATTATTTTAATTTATTTGATCATGTCTTATATGTATATTATATTATAATTTGAAATTATAATTTTTTTTATACATTTTTTTATATCATTTTTACACAATTTATTATTCATTCTATGTTTGGAATGTATTTAAAGTACAATCAAGACCATAGCCAGAAAAATATTTAGGGGGGTTTGAGTATAAATATGTTACATTATATAATAAAATATGAAAATCAAGGCCGTAGACGTAAAAATATTTAAGGGGCTGGGGGGGGAGGGGGGGAAGAGTATAAATATGTTATATTATATTATAAAATATGAAAATATTATTTAAATTAAATTAATCTTTATTTAAAAAATAATTAAATCTTATTTGAAAAAAAATTGGGGGGGTTGAACCCTACCCCACCTACGGCATTGGGTGCAATTGTCAGGAAGTTATTTTACAGTTTTTGATGGTAGCTTTTACTGTATTTGTTATAACTTATAACTGATAAAGATTTATGGTTGTTATAATATTGTAAGAACTGCACTACCTAGATAGTCTACGATAATTGTATCTTAATAGTTTAAAAATTAACAAATGCTGGTCTTGGATCTTACAAACCTAAATGTTAGCGTACGTCATGTAGGTATAACTGATTCGTTATACAATTTAAGTAAAATGAACAGTAAATCTAGGTCAAACCATTTTCAAGTTATTGTTCACGAGTGCAAAAGAACATGTTATGTAGTGAACTTACGGAAAATCAAGGTTGTATGTGTGTATAATATGTATATAAAAAAAAGAAACATTATTAATGAGAAACATTATTTCCAGTCTAAAAAAATGTGTCACATATTTGAATATTTCCCAATGGTTACAAGACAACTGATAAGGAAGGTGACGCTTCAATATAAGTCACTGTCACCTGCAGTATAATATAATATTATGTTCAACAGTTTCTTGTTCTCTTGCCTCTTGGACATTCTTTGAAGCTGTTATTTAAAATGCATTTAAGTTGCTGTTTTTTATGATTATCATGTTTTTAAATTGTATATGACAAAAATTTTAAATATTCATTCAGAAATTAGAGCTGTATATTTTTTGAAGAACTTCGATGTGTACTTTGAAACATACAAAATAATTTTGGATTAGTATATTTTATGTTTGTGTAATTAAAGATAGGATTTTTATGTTTTTCCATATTTTTAATGAGATTATGCTAAGATAATAATGAACTAGACAATGAACGACAATTTTATCATCGTCGCTTGTTAAACATAATGCCGGGTTTACACGAGTTGATTGCGGTCGGACGACTTTTGCCGCATGACAACGCGTCGATCCCAATCGAAAGTATTAATTGTTTACACGTTCAACTGTTTCTTTGCTACATTTAGTCGAAAGACTCGAAAGTGTACAAAAAATGTCTTCTACAATACGTGTTGGTGTCTTATTAACTTGTGATCTATTATGTGAAGAGTTGTTAAAATGTAAAAATAAAAAAACCACAAAACGTCGTTTATGGACTCGGAAATGGATTTTAAGAAGGAAAACTTTAGGTGCATCAACAAATCTTTTAAAAGAGCTTTCTGTAGAAGATCCAAAATCATTCTATAATCATTTAAGAATGAACGAAGATATGTTTCTATGTCTTCTAGAAAAAATATCCCTTTATGTTCAAAAGGAAAATACCAATATGCGAGAACCACTGCCAGCAAGATTAAAGCTAGAAATAGTATTATGATTTTAAGCTATTACCGGTAAAAGCTTTGCTTCCCTTTCAGCTCTGTATAAAGTTCCGAAATGTACAATATCACGTTTTTTGTTGGAAGTCTTAGAAGCAATAAACAAAGCATTGGAAAACTTTATCAAGGTATTTTAAATATATATTACATTTAAAAAACAAGATACAACAATAAATTTAAAAATATAAAGTTGTAAAGAAAAATAGGTCTTGATATACGTCATTAGGTGTCCAGTATATTTTAATTCGTTACTGTAAAAAATTACCTTAACTATATTCAAGATTATGGGTTACTGAATGAGCGATGGCTGCTTCAAAAAATCTCGGTTATCGGTAACCGACTGAAAACAGGTTTTCTAAAGAAAATTGCATTACACCTGTGTAGTATGATTTAAGAATAGTTTTAAAAAGTTATTAATCTATTAAACTATTATAATTTACAGTAACTTCGAGTTTATCATTATTTATGTAGCTAAAATAAATTAAACATAATATAGTTCATAGGTAACGGTAGTCAGTTAGTAGGTACCCGGTATTTATAAATAATGATAATCAGTTATACACCGGTTATAACATATTATTTTATTAGGAATGTTATTTTAACGTTTTATGTTAAAAGAAAATTAGTCACGATACCCGGTAACCGGAAATCGTTAATAAAAATAGGTTTAAAATAACAGTAAACAATTTTAGGTTCCCGAAAATCCAGGAAACTACCGGTCTCAAACCCTGTCAGTATAAGTATAAATTATTAATAATGAGGTATGGTAAAAAAAACTTGTATTCCATTCAACATCAGCTTGTGCCTTGTAATAAACCCATCAGATTCATATTCGTCTGGATACGTCTTCAAGTATATTTTAAAATTAAAAAAAAATGAATTTTAATAAAACCATAATTTAAGCATACAAATAGAATGAACATGTTTGATACATCACCCTCTATACGTAAGCGAATAATTTTTAAAAAAACCAAACAAAATAAAATATTAATCAAAAAACTTACTGAAAAATTGTATTGTTGTATACAGTCCTAACTGAAACCGACATGTTTTCAGGATCAATCCCCCTTGCACCAATTGCTTCTCTTAAAAAAGGTACATGTAAATTGATGTTTGCAGGTCCATGGTTGTGTTGATTTCGAATTTTTATCCTATTATCAAGAAATTCTGAACTTACTGATGCCGTACAAGGACAACAATCATAAAGCCGACTTTTTTGCCATTCACACACTAAGTACATACGGTCGACTCTTGCTTCGCGCTTGTAGTACTTAAAACCTAAATTAATAAATTCAAAATCGATTTTGTATTTTAAGGTGGTGCTATAATTACTGAATTCGGGATTGAAAAAATTGAATTTATTTGAGGTTTACTGGGTTCTTTAGAGATCATTTTCCGAAATTCTCATTAGTTTTTTCCAAATGTTGGCATAAACTGCCAAAAAAACAGTTATTTTGAACTGATTTTAGTTATTTACTATTCAGTTGCAACTCCAAAAATAAATATATTTTCTTAAGACTTAACTTATATTTTTAACAATTACTAATTCATCATTGGTTTCAAATTTAAAACAATCTTAAGCTCTATACTTAGAAGAAGCACATCCATGGGGATCCAAAAAGAGCATGCATTTGGCTACAGGAAAAACATTGAAGGGCAACAAAAAAAGTCAATAATGTTTTAATATAATAAATATGATGTATGCAATGTGTTTACTATTCTCTTTACTTACCTCCAATTTTGCGAATTTGCTTACAAGTTGTAATGTTATTCAACTTCCTTCTGTTTGTACGTTTTTTTAAAGTTTATCTCATTCACTTGTTTCTTTATAAGTATACAACTCAAAATAACTGTTTCGCAAACCGCCTTTACGCGTATACGCGTTACACCGTATACGTCGTTTCTTATCAAGTGCCGCCGGATACTAGTACCCGGATCTTCGGCTTATATTTATTGCGATACGTCAACGGGACGCCCACGACCATTTTTGCCTCAACGATTCCGGCGTCACGCATTTGATCAGTTACACGACCTTAGTCACCCCGGTGCACGCGCGACAGCTCGCTTAGTTTCAGAACGATTCGTGTGGCCAGAAATGAAAAGGGATTGTCGTTCTTGGGCACATGCCTGCGTCCCCTGCCAGCGATCGAAAATAAACAGACACGTCTCAGCGCCACTGGGAAACTTTGAAACACCTTCACGCCGATTCAAACATGTTCAATGTTCATGTCAATATCATCGGTCAACTACCGCTATCTCAGTCCTTTAGGTACTACCTGACGGTAATCGACCGCTGTACCCGTTAGTCGGAGGTGTACCCACTCGAACGGATAAAGCCAGATGATGTCACTAAGGGTTTCCTCAATTACTGGATTTCACGCTTCGGAGTACCTCAATACGTAACAACTGACCGTGGTATTCATTTTGTTTCAACCACTTTGAAAACTTTAGCAAAACGTTTTGGTTTTACCCTCCGCCCCACTACCAGTTGGCATCCTCCCGCGAACGGATTCATCGAACGAATGCATAGGCAACTAAAAGCAGCCATCGTGACCCACGCAAAGGATTCGTGGACTGAGTCACTGCCCATCGTGCTTCTCATAATGCGTTCTTCACTGAAGGAAGACTTCAAGGCCACGTCTGCAGAACTTGTTTATGCTGAGCCCCTTAATCTTCCTGGCGATTTCTTTGCAGATAATCAAGAAAATAGCAGTATGAACGACCCTATACTAGCTTACTCGACCGTCTTCGTATTATTATGAATAAAATTCGTCCAGTACCTGCACCTCGCCACTCAAATCCACGATCATTTGTTTTTGGGACCTCAAGGACTGTTCACGCTTATTTCTCAGGGAGGGAGGTGTCCGAGCAGCACTTCAACCACCATATCAAGGCCCCTACGAAGTACTTGTCCGTAATGACAAGACTTTCACAATAAAAGTTCGAAACCAACCAGTTACGGTTACAGTGAAATATAGTTGTAATCCGTAAACAGTAAAAGTGTTTATTTATTTACATTACCTATTACACTTCGCTACAAATCTAATGGCCATTTAGCGTGCTCGGACTCTGAAAAGGCTGATTTTTTAAACTACAACTATCTGATACATTTCAGCCACACTCTAATATAAGTGACGACGCTCTTTTGAATACGGTGGAAGAGTTTCTCAATTCTTCACTCCCCGTCTCTTTCCCAGTCAAACTATTAACACCAATCGATATTAAATATACCATTCAAAAAAGCTCTCTGAATAAATGAATCTGGCTTCAATCTCATAACTGCTGAAGTAGCCAGAAGTCTCCCAAAAAGAGCCATCGTCCATATTACCATATCACATACATTTTCAATGCAATTCTTAGACTTTCGTATTTTCCACTACTCTGAAAATTTTCAACTATAATATTAGTCCCTAATCCTAACCTCCTGATCTTCCATCATCCTATCGTCCAATTAGTCTCTTACCATTCTTTGCTAAAATACTTGAAAGGTTAATTCTGAAACGTATACTACCCATTATTATTGAAAATAACGTACTACCAGATACTCAATTCGGGTTTCGTTCTTCCCATTCGACTATACATCAAGTGCACAGATTAGTTGACGCTATTTCCTATGCGCCGGAACAAAAATTATATTATACGTGCGTGTTTTTAGACATCTCTCAAGCTTTTGACAGAGTTTGGCATGATGGCCTACTGTTTAAGCTTAAAAGATTCCTTCCACTTATCTACTATCTAATTATAAAATCGTATCTCATAGACCGTCATTTTCAAATTTGCTACGGTTCTGCTTTCTCCGATATAACAGTTATAAACGCAGGTGTTCCACAAGGCGGCATATTATCCCCTATTCTTTATAACATTTATGCTTCAGACCAACCAACCACTCCTTATACGTCAGTAGCCGACTACGCAGATGGCAAAGCGATAATTTCCATCAACAACGATCCCCTCACTGCCTCTTCAAATCTACAAAACCATCTTGCTTACATGGAAAACTGGTTTACCATATGGTGTTTTAAAGTTAATCAAAGCAAATCTATCCACACTACCTTCACCCTCAAACTGGCTCCGTGTCCAAATGTATCTCTATATGGCACACCCATTCCTACCTCTCCTACTGTTAAATATCTTGGTCGAACACTTGATCAAAGACTTACTTAGGCTCACCGTATAAGAACCAAAAGACTAGCTCTAAATAATCGTCTACGAATGCTGAAAATGGTATTATACAATAATAAATATACGTCCACGCTCACCAAAATTCTTATACATAAAAGTCTACTCAAACCAATGTGGACGTACGGTTTGCAGCTATGGGGTAGTGCAAAAAAAAACAAACGTTAGTAAAATCCAAGCATTCCAAAACATTGCCCCGAGGAAATTAAGAAATGCACCTCCTTATGTCTCAAATTTTTCCCTCCATTCAGACCTAAAACTAAAAACAATAGTTGAAGAATCCAAATGTTATTATAAAAGATTCCACAACCACCTAAGTACTCATTCCAATCCACTCATCAAAAAATTGGCCTCGGCTACCATATCAGGTAATCACCTAAGACGTTTATAGCTCAAGTGGTGTCGTGATTTGTTACAGTAAAAAATCATAATAATTATTAAGGAAATAATTAATAACCATAGAAAGTGTCATCAATGGGTGGCTCCTTATGTTAAATTATTTCCTGTGAATGTACTCTTAGCATATATTCTTATTGTATTAATGATACAGATTGTTTATTACTTATAAAAAAAAAAAAGTTATAACTAGGGAAACAAATAAAATTTATTTCGTGAAAATCTTGTTACTGGAAGAACACTGCATATTTTACTATTTTTATAAAATGACTGAAGTATTGCAGGGGCGCCATTTCAGTTTTAAAATAGGGCTGCCAAATTTTTTACCAGGCTACATTTTCTACCACCAGGCCACAGTTATAACAATGAAAATTTAAATGTAGCCATGTTGGAGTTATTTCTACCTTACTATTAGGGATGAAAAATAAATCTGCAAAGAGAAAATAACAAATAGCAAAAGAAACTGCAAAATAAAAATAGAACCATATGCTCCCATAGAACTTGTAATTCTTTTAGATTACAGTAGTTATTAGCAAGCTGCTTTTTTTGTAATTAATATGCTGTTATGTAATCTAGATTACACTGTCATCTATAAGCCCAATTCAAACATTTAATAATAGCATCTTAACTTAAAATGACTAGTACCATAAAATAAAAATTAAAATTGAATCTTTAATTATACAAATAAAGTTGATAGCAACAAAATATATATATAAAAAAAATATGTTTCTAATACATGTATCTAGTTATTTGAAATAAGCAAGCAAGATGCAAGTAAGCAATAAATTATTTATAGTTTGAATTTAAGAGTTCTTCTTAAATAAGTTTGTATCTTCGAACTTTCAGTTGAGCAAATTCATCTACTGCTGCATTTAAGTTAACTTTGCCAGCATCTTCTTTTTCTACAGCAATTACCATTAAATCACTCAAACGATCATCGCTCATAGTAGTTCTAATGTAGGATTTCAATCTTTTAAGAGAAGAAAAGAACCTTTCATTAGATGCTGTGCTTATTGGAAGCGTAATAATAATGTGAAGAATTNTAATGATGTTATATAATATGTAATAGTTACCTTTATATAACTAAAAATATTTTGTAGGTAACCTTTACTTTTTTGTTATATAAAAAACAGTTTGAAATCAGGGGCGCCATTTCAGTTTTAAAATAGGGCTGCCAAATTTTTTACCAGGCTACATTTTCTACCACCAGGCCACAGTTATAACAATGAAAATTTAAATGTAGCCATGTTGGAGTTATTTCTACCTTACTATTAGGGATGAAAAATAAATCTGCAAAGAGAAAATAACAAATAGCAAAAGAAACTGCAAAATAAAAATAGAACCATATGCTCCCATAGAACTTGTAATTCTTTTAGATTACAGTAGTTATTAGCAAGCTGCTTTTTTTGTAATTAATATGCTGTTATGTAATCTAGATTACACTGTCATCTATAAGCCCAATTCAAACATTTAATAATAGCATCTTAACTTAAAATGACTAGTACCATAAATTAAAAATTAAAATTGAATCTTTAATTATACAAATAAAGTTGATAGCAACAAAATATATATATAAAAAAAATATGTTTCTAATACATGTATCTAGTTATTTGAAATAAGCAAGCAAGATGCAAGTAAGCAATAAATTATTTATAGTTTGAATTTAAGAGTTCTTCTTAAATAAGTTTGTATCTTCGAACTTTCAGTTGAGCAAATTCATCTACTGCTGCATTTAAGTTAACTTTGCCAGCATCTTCTTTTTCTACAGCAATTACCATTAAATCACTCAAACGATCATCGCTCATAGTAGTTCTAATGTAGGATTTCAATCTTTTAAGAGAAGAAAAGAACCTTTCATTAGATGCTGTGCTTATTGGAAGCGTAATAATAATGTGAAGAATTTTTATTGTTTCAATAAAAGCTCCAGAGTGAAGAGTCAGAGTATTCATTATAGAATACAAATCTGGTTTTAAAATATCTTTATTTTTTAACAATGATTTTGCTGAATTAAATTCTGATGATAGATTTAATATATTTATTTGAAAATGTTTGTAGTGCTCGATAAAAAACTTCAAGTATGGACACTTTGTATTAAAGTAATAAGGACTAGAATAATCGAAAATTTCAAAGATCTTGAATAATTCTTTATTTTTTTCAGAAAATCTCATCTCTAATTGTGATTCAAACCTAGTTAATAAATACAAATACATAATTAAAGTATAAAAAATAAAAATCTGACTGATCATTGCGAACAATATTAAAAAAATAAAATAAGCAAGGGGTTAGCAATAGAATCAAAAGCGTTTTAACTACAAAAGCTAAGTAATTATACATTTGTATCCCATAATATTACCAGTTAGTTTTTTTTTATCAACATGCTTATTTAAAAATAAATATTTTAAATATTAATATTATTCGCAAAATTAATGGTGTCATCAATATGAGATAAATTTTTACTAATTTTCAATAATATTTAAAAATAATTATTGATTAATTAAATATTTATTATAAGGAGTAATTTAATATTATTCTTATGTACCTGTCGATTATAGTGAAATAAACTTTAGACTTGATATTGTCTCTACTCTCAAGTTCATTTGTTTTACCAAGTGTTGAGTTTACATAATAGTCATTTAGATGTTTATTAAGTACTAAGTTTCTTTGAAAGCGTTTATGTTTCAACTGATATTCTTGATTGTTCAATCCGTTTTTACTCGCAAATAGTATCGACTTTTCACTAATTTTTAAATACATTTCATCATTACGTAATGCATGAAGGTCATCTTTAGTTGACTTAACTAAATCCATAGCTTTTGAAAATATAATAGAAGAAGATTGAAGTTCATTAGATAAACAGTTAATACTTTTTAAAATTTTTTTCATAATATTTAAAATTAAAATAAATTTAAAGGAAGATATTTCTTCTAGTAACCCAGAAGCTCGTGCTGTTTGGTCACCTTGCAATGTTAAAATTGTTAAAACTTCCTTGATTTCAGAGTAGCGTTTTTTAACTTTTTGTAATGAACTGTACCAGTAGGCCCATCTCGTGTCCACTAATCTTTCTAAATGCATTACTTGAATTTTTTTGTCTTTTTGAATTTGAATAAATTGTTCATACCTTGTATGTCCATTCATTAAAAATGTATATAAGCCCTGAACTGTATCAAAAAAATCTACTACAGCTTTAACACCTTGAATTGAATTTACTAAACAGAGGTTAAGACGGTGAGCGTGACAGTGTACATATATGGCCTGTGGAATGACATTGGCTATTCTGGTTTGGACACCAGAAAAGGCACCGCTCATCACTGATGCTCCATCATAACATTGAGCTATACAGCGGTTCCGATCTAATTTATTTTCATCAATAATCTTTAAGATGGCATCACTTAATGACTGGGCATCACATCTTTTCATGTGGTAACATCCTAAAGTTTTTTCTTGAATATCTAAGTTTTTATCAACAAATCGAATTAAAAAACTTAACTGTTCTTTTTTACTTGCATCTTTTGTTTCATCCACCAATACAGCATAAGCACCAACATCATTGATGCTACTCAAAATGTTCTTTTTTATAGATGATGCAATTATATGTATAAAATCATTTTGGTAATCATGGCTCGTATAATGACCATACCTTGATCGTAATTTGTTTATCATTTTATCGTCACCAAATGATTCAAGTAATTCAATGAAATTGCCTTTATTTGATGAATTTGTTTTTTCGTTATGTCCACGAAATGGTATTCCTTGTTTTCCCAAGAATAAAGTAGTCTTAAGCAAAAAGTATATATGTTCTCGATTTTCTTTAATTTCTTGTAATCTAGAATGAACTAATAAGTTAGCAACTGATTTATCATTTTGTTTTATATCCAAGTACAGATTCCACTTTTCAACACTAGCTTTATGATTTTCACTTGATGCATGCTTCCTAAAAGCTTTTGCTTTATACGACCATGAGTTGAAACCTTTATTAACAAATACATAATTTCCTAAATGTTGACCACGTGTAAGTGCACTCGAAAGAAAATGTCTACACGGGAAGCAATAAACTGCATTATTAGATACTGAGTATTCAATCCAATTAAATAATGAATAATAATTTGCACTAAAAGATCTATTTTCTGAATTTCTTGTATAAATACTAATTAAAGGCTGTACAGGCTTTTGATCTTTAGACTGAGAAATATCTGATACCTAAGTAAATTTTTTATTACATTTTAAATTAAGATATACGTTTAAGCTTTTTTTATAAAATATAGTTAGATATGTACCTACCTCATGTAAAATATTTTCAAATGCAGACATGTCTTTGCTACTATTAATATCTACATCAGTTTCAGCTATACATTTACTTATACGGCTGTCTACATTCAAATTATCATTATCTTTAGTTATATCAGAATTGCCACTATCCTGTAAGCATAGTTGGAAGTAAATTAAAATGCTTAAATTAAAATAAGTTTTTTTAAAATAATTAGATAGGTACCTCTTGTAAAATATTTTCAAATGCAGACATGTCTTTGCCAATATTAATATTTACATCAGTTTCAGCTATACATTTACTTATACGGCTGTCTACATTCAAATTATCATTATCTTTAGTTATATCAGAATTGCCACTATCCTGTAAGCATAGTTGGAAGTAAATTAAAATGCTTAAATTAAAATAAGTTTTTTTAAAATAATTAGATAGGTACCTCTTGTAAAATATTTTCAAATGCAGACATGTCTTTGCCAATATTAATATTTACATCAGTTTCAGCTATACATTTACTTATACGGCTGTCTACATTCAAATTATCATTATCTTTAGTTATATCAGAATTGCCACTATCCTGTAAGCATAGTTGGAAGTAAATTAAAATGCTTAAATTAAAATAAGTTTTTTTAAAATAATTAGATAGGTACCTCTTGTAAAATATTTTCAAATGCAGACATGTCTTTGCCAATATTAATATTTACATCAGTTTCAGCTATACATTTACTTATACGGCTGTCTACATTCAAATNAACTGATATTCTTGATTGTTCAATCCGTTTTTACTCGCAAATAGTATCGACTTTTCACTAATTTTTAAATACATTTCATCATTACGTAATGCATGAAGGTCATCTTTAGTTGACTTAACTAAATCCATAGCTTTTGAAAATATAATAGAAGAAGATTGAAGTTCATTAGATAAACAGTTAATACTTTTTAAAATTTTTTTCATAATATTTAAAATTAAAATAAATTTAAAGGAAGATATTTCTTCTAGTAACCCAGAAGCTCGTGCTGTTTGGTCACCTTGCAATGTTAAAATTGTTAAAACTTCCTTGATTTCAGAGTAGCGTTTTTTAACTTTTTGTAATGAACTGTACCAGTAGGCCCATCTCGTGTCCACTAATCTTTCTAAATGCATTACTTGAATTTTTTTGTCTTTTTGAATTTGAATAAATTGTTCATACCTTGTATGTCCATTCATTAAAAATGTATATAAGCCCTGAACTGTATCAAAAAAATCTACTACAGCTTTAACACTGACACGTACCTCGCTGGTGTGGGACGATGGTCCTGGGGGTAGTAGACACTTGAGTGCGGGTACGTGGCGAATAAAACGAAAGAAACAAAAGAGGAATAGAGAAGCGGAGGAAGTCGAACAAAATTTCAACACTGACTGGTGAGGGTCGCACGGACGTGCGAAAGATGTGGTTTTATTGCGGTTAACGAATTAGACGTGGTGAATAATCACGGTTTAAGTCTGTCGGGCAGAAACGTTGACAAAACAAAGAATTAACGTCGCGTTCAGACACGTGGCGTTTTACAATATTAAATAAAATAAAATAAAAAAAAAAAAGACGGATCGTTTTCCGGACGTCGTATCGGCAACGCGAGACGTGAAAAAGTAACACGACCGATCCGGTTCGCCTCTCGGCCGGCCGACGGTTCCTGGCGCGAATGTCGCGCGCCGGTGTCGTCCGTCGTCGGTTGGCGGTTGTTTGAGAGGTTCAGCGCGGATTTCCGCGCAAAGGCCGTTTGAATTCAAACTGCCATCGCGCGGGACCGCGTCATACTCCCCCCCCAAACCGCCGACGGCGTCGGTGTTCCGGCCGTTGCCGGTGGTGCTGTGTAGTGTGTTGTGGGGTAGTTGTGGTAGACATTTGTCCGCGGGCACGCTTTCCGGCTGTGCTCAGCGGGCGTGGCCCTGACGGTGCCTTGGTGTGTGGATAGGGAGGGTGACGTAGGTTTCGGGTAACTTTCCGTAGGCACGTTATTCCTGCTGGTAGAGCGGACTTGCCTGCGGTGATTGGGTGGTGGGTATGGCGGTTCTCTGCGTGCACGTGTTCCGGCCGTTGGTGGCGGACGTGCATGTGGTGGTGCTAGAGCGCACTACGGGGAGTTCGGGGGGCTTGCTGTCCACCATGTGGTGTTCAGCAATTCCACCTCCTGGGGTGATAGAGGGGTGAGCGATACCGTCATGGACTCAAATGTTTCCGTGGCCTCGGTTCCGGAAGTGGTAGCCGTTTCCGGTGCGGGGCCCTCGGTTTCCATGGATTCAGTGGTGGGCCGGGGGGTTGGGGTCGGGGTGGTGCGCTGGTGTAGTTGCGCCGCCGCCTTTTTCTTTTGCTGCATGAACTGCAGGCGGCGCGCGAGGTTGCGCCGTTGCCGGGAGTTGGTGTTGGATTCCGGTGTTGATGGTGCGGGGGTTGACTTTGTTGTCCGTGGTGGTTGGACGGCGATCGACATCAGCGGCCGTGGTGGTGGTCGTGTCGTCCTTTGGCGCTGGTTGTGGCTGTGCTTGCTGTGGTATGCCCCTTGAGGTCCTGCTCGGGCCGCCTGCTGGCATGCTGCCATGCAGCCTGCCCATCCCCGCTCGTACGCCGCCCACAATGCCGGGTCCCGTCGCAACTGCTCCAGCGGGAGCGTCCTCACACTCGCGGCCGTCGTGCCCGTGGTTGCGGTGTCCGTTGCTCTTAAAATCTGGCTGCTCCGCTGGAGGAGGTCCGCCACCTCCGTCAGTGGGTCTGCTGTCGGCCTGGTCTGCTCCCTGCGGTTTTGACTCATTGCGTAGGTCTAGAACATGGGGTTGGTTTGGTGTGGTTGGTGGTGGTGATGGGTTGGTATTGATTATGCCGGGTGTGGTTGTTGCGCGCTTAAGGCACGACACGTGGATTTTGCGCGGCGGTTGTTGGTCGGTTAGGAATACTCCTTTACCTACTTGCCGCCCAAGTTGCACGGGGCCCCACCATTTCGGCGCGAACCCTGCGTGGAATTTTTTGTGCGCTTTGGACAGGTGGTGCGCCTTGTAGTACACCCTGTCGCCTGTCTTATACTTAGTGTGCACCTGGTCACCTTTTTCAGGTGGTGTTTCCAGGGCGTTTTTTTCGCGCTGCTCCCTATCTATATTTATCATCTCGATCGGGACGTCTACCGTCCGAGATAGTGCCCAGTCCCCCGGCCGTTTGCCCTCCCTGCCGAGGACAAGTACCGAAGGGGGGTAGCCCGTCTGGTCGTTGCGCCTATTCCGGATCGAGAATAAGATAGGTGCCAATTTGGTGTCCCTGGTGTTGTGGTTGCCGTCTACGAGTAGCGCGCGTAAACCTTTTTTTATTTCCTGGTTGCGACGTTCGACCGGGTTGGCCCTTGGGTGGTACACCGGAGTCGTCCAGCCCTCGGCCCCCCATTGCTCGATTGCGCTGCGCATGTCGTTTGCTACGAATTGGGGGCCGTTGTCGCTTAGGCACACCCGGGGGTATCCGAAACGTGAGAAAAACTCTCTCTCGAGCGTTTCGGTGATTGTTTTTGTAGTGGCTGTGCCGAGGGGGTACGCCTCGGTCCATCTACTAAACAAGTCCGTAGCGACCAGTAAATATTGTTTGCCCCTGCTGGTGCGTGGGTAGGGGCCCATGAGGTCTATGCTGATTACCTCCCAGGGCTGGCGGGGTATTCTAGCGGTTTTCGGGTCGTCGGCGCGCGCGTTAAGTGGTTTGGTGCACGCGCATATGTGACACGACTTGACGTAAAGTCGAATGTCGTTTTTCAGTCCTTTCCAGAAAAACCGTTGTCTTACCGTCCTGTAGGTTTCTTTCCAGCCCGGGTGGTTTGCGAGAGTGTGATCGTGGTATATCCACATCACGTTCTGCGCTTTGTGTTTGGGAACGACTACGGGTGTGTTGTCGCGTAATTTTATTCGCAGTAGGCCGTCGGTGAATATTTACTCGTTAATTTTTTCCGCGGTGTTACTGGTATTGCGCGCCGGGCCGTCCGGTAGCCCGTTATTTATAATGTCTCGCGTGGCGGGGTCATCGGTCTGCCACGTCGTGAGCATTGCGTGCGTAATGTTGGCGCCGTTGGTTGTGTCGCCCGTGTTGGTGGTGGCGAACAAATTTTCCGGCGGTTGACATAGCGGGGTACGTGATGAGGTGGTTACGCCTACTAGTCGTTCCTCGAGGTGTTCCTCGTTTACCGGGGGTCCAGGGGCCGGGTGGCGTGATAGCATGTCCGGCGCTTCGTTCTGGACGCCGGGTATGTGTGTGGTTTGGAAGTCTAGGTTGGCCAGTTGTAGTGACCACCTGGTCAACTTAGCGTTTGTGTTTTTGGCACGGTGTAGCCATGTGAGTGCCGAGTTGTCGGTAAATAGTTCAAAGCGGCGGGTCTCCAGATATGGTCGGAACTTGTCCGTCGCCCAGATTATGGCGAGGCACTCGCGCTCGACCGCGGCGTACCTCGTCTGCGTATCACTAAACTTTTTACTCGCGTAGGCGATTATCCGTCTTTCTTCCGGGCTGTC